AATCGTGGCCTGGGCCTCGACGCACTTGCTCAAGGCTTCCCGGTAGATTATAACGGGAAAGCGCAATGGCGAACGATCTCATCAGAATCGGGTAGCCCGAATAAAGTGCAATTTGTGCAAGCCTTGGGTTTCTTCGACAGGCGGAAACCCTCGGAAGTCACATCCCCAATAGTCATAGCAATTTTCCTTGCTGTTGCGGTGTAGTGATTTAAAAGTGAATGTGCCTAGGCATCGAACCACATGCTCCAAGCCTGCCCGGTGGAATGTAAACGTGAAGCGACATCGCGAACGAGTCCATCCAGAATCGGTAGGCCGATTAAAGTGCAATTTGTGCAAGGCTTGCGTTTCTTCGACACGACGAAAAACCTCGGAAGTCACATCCGCAATAGTCATAGCAAATTTAATTGCTGTTGCGGTGTAGTGATTTTAAAAGCGAATGTGGCTAGGCATCAAGCTACCTGCTCCAAGGCTGCCGGTGGAATGTAAACGTGAAGCGACATCGCGAACGAGTTCATCCAGAATCGGTAGGCCGATTAAAGTGCAATTTGTGCAAGGCCTTGCGTTTCTTCGACACGACGAAAAACCTCGGAAGTCACATCCGCAATAGTCATAGCAAATTTACCTGCTGTTGCGGTGTAGTGATTTTAAAAGCGAATGTGGCTAGGCATCGAACTACATGCTCCAAGGCTGCCGGTGGAATGTAAACGTGAAGCGACATCGCGAACGAGTTCATCAGAATCGGTAGGCCGATTAAAGTGCAATTTGTGCAAGGCCTTGCGTTTCTTCGACCCGACGAGAAACCTCGGAAGTCACATCCGCAATAGTCATAGCAAATTTACCTGCTGTTGCGGTGTAGTGATTTTAAAAGCGAATGTGGCTAAGCATCGAGCTACATGCTTCAAGGCTGTTGGTGGAATGTAAACGTGAAGCGACATCGCGAACGAGTTCATCCAGAATCGGTAGTCCGATTAAAGTGCAATTTGTGCAAGGCCTTGCGTTTCTTCGACACGACGAGAAACCCTCGGAAGTCACATCCGCAATAGTCATAGCAAATTTACCTGCTGTTGCGGTGTAGTGATTTTAAAAGCGAATGTGGCTAAGCATCGAGCTACATGCTTCAAGGCTGTTGGTGGAATGTAAACTGGTCGGTGGCGCCTCGGGGAGCGGAGCCAACTACTTCACACTCAAGTACTTCGACCAGGACGCTACCTTGGCTCAGAGTCCGCAGACGTACAAGCATATGGCGTGTGATGTTGCTAGTCTCGAGCGCGTGTTCGAGATCGGCCCGGGCTTCCGTGCTGAGACCTCGAACACGCACCGTCACATGTGCGAGCTCGTGGGTCTGGATCTGGAGATGACTATTAAGGCGCACTACCACAAGGTGCTGTAGGTGCTCTCAGACCTGTACATCTACATTTTCGATGGCTTGAAGAAACGTTACGCCAACGAATTGGCTTCTATCAACGAGTAGTACCCGTTCGAGCCGCTCAAGTACAACAAGCCGTCGCTTATCATCAACTCCTAGGAAGGTGTCAGGATGCTGAAGGAGACTGGCGCTGACCTGAAGACGATCTGAGCACAGAGAAAGAGAAGTGGCTGGGTCGTCTCATCAAGGAGAAATACGACACAAACTTCTACATCCTCGACAAGTTCCGCTGGCTGTGCGTCCGTTCTACACGATGCCAGACCCGACGGACAAGCGTTGGAGCAACTCGTACGACCTGAAGAAATTTGAATCCAGGGGGAGAGAAAGGGTTCTTGTGTGGTCCCCCAGGTGTTCCGAAACCCTCAATTGCTTGAGGGAAGCCAGGGGAACAAATCGGGGGTGGCCTCCAGGAATCCAAGTGCCATTAATTCAATTCTCTCCGTTCTGGAATTCTCTGCCCCCAGGTGGGCGGTGGTTATTGTCTGGCACGTGTGGTCTGTTGTACTGGGTCTGGGCAACATCAGTAAGTTCTCTCATGTTCTCGCGTGACTCTCAAGAGTTGCTTCTCTTAAAGTCTCTCGTCGCTAGAATGGCGTCGTATTGTTTGTAGCGGGCTCTCATTGAATAAGGATAATGCAAAAACTCAAGTACTGTCAACGATGATATCCTGAGGTCTTTGTCGTTCGATTAGCAGGGTTAACGTTACACGTAGCACGTTGCGCACACATTACTCTGTTGTCGACTACACATACTCTACGTAACTAGAAATGCTTCAGTATTTACTCATACTGTCGAACTATAGGGCGGGTACAGGTTCTGGATCGTCATTGCGGCTCACGACACAACCTCATCGTGCTCCTACACCTACGGCCATGCTCGCATGCTTCTTTCACCACCAGGCTTGCTTCAATCCCCGCCTCGAGCCATCCGGTTGCTACTCGCTTTGACGTCGCATTTCTTCGTGTTATGATGAGCCCTCTGGCTGTCTTGGAGAATTGGTAGTGCAGTCAGCGAAGTCGGCAGTTAGGCTTGGTGAGCTCTGCCAGAGCAGCAGCTACCACTTAAATCGGCAGCGGATCGCCGGGACACGATACAACACACCACGGCAACACAACGTGACGCGGCTGTAGCGTGTGGCAGGTGCGCAACGCAGCAACAACTGGGGCGTTGTGGGGCCGGTAGGAGCGGTGCAAAACGAGGTCCTACCGGGATTTGAACCCGGATCGCTGGATTCAGAGTCCAGAGTGCTAACCATTACACCATAAGACCAGCACTAGCTCGCCAATCCGCAAACAAAATTTCAAACGCTTTCCTAAAACCCCACGCGACAGCTGGCGCCATCGCTACATACTATGCTTGCAACGCCGCACAAAACCAAGCTCCTACCGGGATTTAAACCCGGATCGCTGGATTCAAAGTCCAGAGTGCTAGCCATTACACCATAAGAGCACCTAGCCCAGACACACCACGCCCAATCCATAGTGCATGTACACGTTATTCTGTGCTGCAAAAAATTGTGTGAAACTTAGCAAACTTGCTGAGTGGGCACGGACCATCTTTGTATTTGACGTCATACAAGCATTACCTAGCCTTTTTCAAATGATCCAACTTCCTAAAGCTCTGTAGTGACGACTACAATCATAGAAATACCTCCAGTTATGATTGCTTCAAAGTGCTATGGAGCCGTCAATGCACGCTGTGTATAAACCTCTACATATAATGTCGGATCCATGTTGGTGGTATCTTCATTTGAGTTGGTGTAGAAGTCCTCTTTGCAGGTGCTCCGCGCATATGATCAGGGTTTGACTACCAAACAGTTGGTGCGTGTCGGCTCCTAAATTAGTAGTGTGTTGCTCTTCCTGTCAGTGGCCAACACCACCATAAGAGTGTGGGTTTAATCAACTGTAGTGATTCTATCTTATCCTCTCGCTACAGAGCTTTGAGTTCACCGACAGGCATAACACACTCAAACAAGCTTGACCTGACGCTTACCTTGAAGCCGGACGTCGCTCTGTGTGCTTGAGTGGAAATTCTGTTCTGTATTTAAGCTTACTCTTCCGGGTCTATTCCTAATAAGAAGTCCTAATCAAGTATACAAATATCAAGTGAACAATGATCCGTTATGGATCTTCTTGCACGTCAAGCGTCGTTTGCACCGTCGCATGAGTATCTTTAACGGTCCGCTCCCTGTCCCAGACGGTGAACGTGCCTTCCAAGAGTCGCTGAAACTTCCGCGAACTCTTCCCAACCGCCACTGAGAGTTCGTACAATAGATGCTCCGCTGAATGCGAATCCGGCCAGTCCATTATTAATAATAAGAACAGCCTGGATTCAGTGACATATGGCCGTATCCAATACTCGTTGAAAGTTCGGAAGTGACGCCGTCGAGTCCCTTGCACCTTGGCGTCTCCGTACATCACATGACCGAGGGTTCGTTGCTTGAACATCTTGGGCGGTGTCACGTCTTTGTCGACGGGTGATAATCCGTAACTACGGAGAAATCACTACACCACAATGAGCGCTGTCGCGACGAGAGCCAGTCGGACTTCACGCTTGTTCCTGCCGTGAGAGACTTGACGATAGGCGCGACAGCCTCATCGTCCCGATACGCCATGTGTATCCGATCATATAGATCCGTTGTCACCCGTGTGATGTGGGCCAACTCGTAGTCAGGACGCCGAGAGAGGGCGTCCGCAAGCATGTTGAGCTTGCCCGGCTTGTACTCGACGCGGAAGTTGTATTCCGCGAAGAAGTACTGCCACCTTGCCATCCTTTGGGAGAGGTGAGGCGAGTTAGTCGCCGTCCTCAAGGACGCGTGGTCTGTGTAGATCACGAAGGGCCGGGAGCCCAGAAGGTGAACACGAAACTTCACAAGGGCATATTTCTTTGCCACGGAGCACCTTGTCGTGGACAGGGTAGTTGCGCTCGGCGGCTTTGAGCTGCCTGGACTGGAACGAGATAACTCGTTCATGTCCAATCCGTGTCGGCCTGCAGCAGTGCACACCCGATGACGTAGTCGGAGGCATCGCAGACAACGCTAAACGGCTTCGTCTCGTCCGGCAGGGCCAGGACAGGGGCCTCTTGGAGACTGGCCTTGATGCTGTCAAAGATATCCTGGTGCTCTTGCTCCCAGCACCAGTCGGCGTCCTTCTGAAGGAGGCCCGACAAGAGCTTAGCGAAGACGCACTTGTCGATGTTGACGTAGAGCTTGTTCGTTCGCATCACGTCCAACACTCGACGGAGGTGCCCCAAATGCACCTCCATGGCCGTCTTGCCTCCCTCGGCACGGCGATGGACGGAGATGTCGTCGAAGTACGTCTGTACGAAGGTACGCAAAGGGCGGAACAACTGCGTCACCAGGTGATTGAACGTCGCCGGGGCGTTAGACAAGCCCTGCGGCATGACGGGCCACTCCCAAAGGAGTGCTTACCGCGGTGAGCGGGATGTCGCTCTCTCGCATCAGGATCTGGTAGTATCCGTCTACCAAATCCAGCGCACTGTACAGTACGCTTCCGGCCATGTTGTTTAGCAACACATCCTTTCGTGGGATTGGTGTTTATGCCGGCACCGTCGCGTTGTTCAGCTTGTTACTGTATAAGCATGAACTAGACGCCACTTTCCGTTCGGCTTCCGAACGCAGAAAGTTGGCGTCGAGTACGGGGATTTCGACTTCCGCACCATGCCTGCCTTCGCTTTCGCGGCGAAGAAGGCATCAATGACCTTGCACTGTTCGCGCGGGAGAGGCCATTGCCTCGTGACACATCACTTTGTGCCTGGCACGAGATCAATCTCATGCCGTACACCTCGATCCGGTGGAAGCTGGGTCGGTGGGTGTTTGCTCACCACGTCCGCATACTCCGTCACCAAAGGATACACCATATCCTTGGGGTTCTTAAGGATCTCAGAACCCAAGCGCGTCTGACGCTGCTTGTTTAGGTCTTCTAGAACGCTCTCGTCCGGACCAGAGGAGTTCAGCTCCTCCCGAGTGGTCTCAGGTCTCACGAGCACCATCTCGGCAACCTTTTCAGCCTTGAGGTTGGCCAGGAAAGACTTGACCGTCATTTCCTCGAGGTTCAGTATCTTTGCAGCCTCTGGCAACGGTTCCAAGTGGACACCAGATGCCTTGACGGGTAAACCGGTCTCGCCATCGAAGATGTGATAACACTCTTCCACCGGCCTTGTCGGAGGATCTCGGGCCCTGGACTCCGAGTCGCTTGAAGCGACGTCGTCGTCGACGGTGACCGTGACGTGGAGCTTTGCTACCCACGTCTGGGGATGTCGGCGCTCCGACATCCGAGGCACTCGTGGCCTCGTGTGGTACCGTGGTACCCACACAGGAAGCGTGTTCAACGCATTCCTCTTCAGTTAAGGTCTGGGCGACCGCGTGTGGCACTATGTTACCCACACAGGAAGCGTGTTTGACGCCTTCCGCTTCAGTTAAGGTCTGGGCGACCGTGTGTGGCACTGTGTTACCCACACAGGAAGCATATCCGACGTCTTCCTCTTCAGTTAAGGTCTGGGCGACTGTGAGTGGAACTCTGTTACCCACCTTGAACACACTTTTTTCAGTGTTCGTGACAGCTCCAGCTGTCTGCGGAACTAAGTTACCCACTTGGCCAGCGCCTCCTCCGGGCGCTGCCACCATAAAAATATCCTTGGAGTCGTCATATCCGTCGACGACTCCCAAACATCTGCCGGATGCTTTGGTACCCTGGCAGCCCTTGCGGGCGCCCCGGATCCTGACATAGGTGGGAACATGACTCACCAATGCTCTGTCAGACTGCGCAGGGTGGGTGGCACCGATTGCCTTGCCATAGGGCTCGTGCTTCTCAAGCCAGGGCATGCCCAGGATCATATCATATGGATCCATATCGAGAACAGTGAGCTGTTCGAGGCTGTCAAAGTCTTCAAACCTGACGGCCAGATCCACTTGGACGTTGGGGACAGTGACGACCTTCCCGTCAGCCAGTCGCACTGACACCGTCCCGTTGCCCTTGCTTTCTCTCAAAGCATTGGACAACTTGTTGCTATTACGAGCAACCGTCTGACGGCGTGCGAAATTCTTCGACGCCCCAGAATCGATCAATATTCTAAAGGGATGATCGTATCCCCGTACACATCCGTGTACTACGAGCAATCCGCCGCTGCTCTTCGCCGATTCGAGAGTGCGAAGACTCTCAGGGGCTATGTCCCCATGGTACGCGCCACCCGCGCACCCATCACGAAGACTTAGTTCTTCCCCAGTAGGGCGCCCCGCCTCTACTGGTTCCCGGCGTTCCCCTGTCCCCGGGACCCTGGCTTCTGCCAGCGACCCTTGAGGACGGGCTTGGGGAAGGACCGTCTGCGGAGTCTTTCCGCGGAACAGTCGCGCTTGAAGTGGCCCACCTTCCCGAAGCCGAAGCAGCGGATGTCACGCTGTTCGGCGGACCCGAGTTCCATGGGAACCGGTCCGTTGGGGCTTGTTCGACTGGGAGCCGACAAAGAACTCCCAGGCCATGCTGAGGCCGGCGTACGCGCCTGGCGATGGCTGTACCCTTGTTGAAGAGCCACTTGAATCGCCTCTTCAAGGGTGCTTGACTGCACCCGGAACAGCTGAGTGCGTGCGGGGCCCACTCGAAGGCTGTCCATGAACACAGTCGTCTTGATGTGTTCGTTGAGTGGGTTTCCCACTTGGGAATCCGTGAGCTCCCGTATCCCCTGCACATCCTCGTGCAGTTCACGCCTCCCTTGTTTGCACGAGAGGAAGCGTGAACGCTGGCGGCACTCGTAGTTTGCCGGGAGGAACGTGGCTCGGAGCTGCTCACACAGCTGAGCCCAGGATGTGAAACATCCAGTGGAAGTTGCCTCCCGTGTGTACACCCAACTCTTATCACGGTTGCTAAGGTTGGAGAGTGCAATAGCAGCACGAAGTTGCTCGGTCGAGATCAGAGCCGCGTCCATCGCGAGC